ATACACCGTTGGAATTGAGACTGACTTCAAAATTCAGTTTGACATAGTGTTTAAGTGGTATGGGACGTGTGTTGAATGACCTATGCGGTTGTCACAGGTTCGTGGTTGGTCAACCTGAAACGCTCCAAGTCCCACTTTCTTCTTCTTGTCTTCCTCTTCCCATTGGTTTGAAGAAGCTCGGCCGGCATTATATTCTTTCATACTTAGCGTGCAACGCTGTCAAAGCTGCTGGCGCGGGTGCGTGGCTTTATCTACGGTTTTGCTTGCGCGAGAAGGCGTGCAAATGATCAACGAGATCAAGCCCCACGCTCGCGCCAGTAGCTTTGACAACGTTGCACCCTAAGTATGAAAGGGAGTATAGTCTCATCCGAGCTCATGCCTTTGGCGCTCAGGTAAACATGTGCGAGAATCGCAATTGACCCTCCCCCAAACCACCCTTAAACAGAACAAAATGACAAAAAAGACAAAATTTGTGACAGCGGTGTTCGAGAGAAACTGCAGACGTTTATTACCCTGCCTGAAACTTTGCAAACATTTCAGTGTGGTTGCAGCTGTGAGGGTGAGGTGGATCCAATATGAAAACTGGACCCTGAAGCGACGCCTTCAGGATGCCGAAAATAATTATGGTAAGTTAGAAATTATCCCACTAGTATACTTCCTAAATATTTGGGCCGGGTGTCGATTAAAAATTTTTAACCCAGTTAATTTGTCACAAATTTTCAGGCATAATATCTTGAAAAGAATGAAACTGCAGATGTTCCAAACTGGCTGAGGTAAAGCAGCCTTGCAGTGCACCAAGGTTTACACTGAACATACTTTTGTGTATTGTCCACGAGGTGTAGCTCGTGCATTGAAGTTTTATGAGTTAGTTTCTTCAATGTTTGAACTTTCAGCGTGCCAGCTGGGTAGTGTGTAATTGTTTTTTTTTTTTTTTTTTTTTATAGCGCAAGCAATATCTTAATTCTGGCGGCAGGAAGATTCGGCTAGCAGTTGACATGGTTGGACAACGGTGTGCATGCTTGCTTTCTCTGAAGCGGCCAATGAAGCGAAATAACAGCATGTGCGGATTGTCCATGCATTTAATTTTTTGTTTGTTGTTTGTTTCAGACTACATGTGCTCCCAGTACAAGGGGGTGGCCCTCCAGGCTCTGACGACCAGCATGTCGTCTCTGCTCTGCTGTCGAGGGAAATTTAAAGGGTAAATATTGCAGCTGCAGTTTTTTCTATTCTTTCCCTGCTACACTTCCTGCAAATTTCTGTGCATACTTGGTCTTTTTGTTTTCATAGTACTGTAAACTTTTGTTATAGTCCGTTGCAACTATAGAATAGCACAAGCCCCTCCCACAATCCCCTTTGCTCGCCATGATTGGCGGTATCCTCTTGGCTTTCCTCCTCTCTAGTGTGTGCTTATTAAAAAGAGTGAAGGGCTTTGTGGGAGGGGCTTTGCTATTCTAGAGTGGCAACAGAGTATAGCATGACCTCAGTTAATTTAATCATTTCGAAGAGTCCTAGCGGGCACCCATGCATTTTTATGGGAAGGACTCTGTGCCATATTTTGAACCGAGAAAATGACCCTACAAATGGGAAAGCACGGGCCTTCTGCTACAAAATTAACCGAACCAAACTTTGTTTTTAAGATCAGACCGGAAAAAGTCGACTCCTGTCTTATAAACGGCGAGTAACAGAAATCCTGTGCTAGTCTCGCCACGTTAGGAAGCTAATGCTATGACCCCCATCTTGATTTCTTTAATGCTTGTTATGACTGTTTTCCCATCTGGTATTTTCACTGTTCTTTGGCCAAAAGTGAGTGGCAGGTCACCATAGGTTTCCAGAAGAAAGCGGTCGCATATGCAGAAATTTCTAGCAAGTTCGTAGCGCAGTGGCGCTTCGTCGCAACCGAGGAAAAACTATGGTATTGTTGGTGCAAAACATTAAGCCTCACGACTAGCAGCAACTTAATCGTGGATATACTGCACCGTACGGCGTTTATTTGAGCTCTACTCCACACAAAATATTAGAGGGGCACTTAGGTATCCCTTTGTGGATGGAAAGCGAAAGCATTGCCATTCCTAACGACACTTCCTTCTTTTTCCCCTCTATTGTTAGGAATGGCAATGCTTTCGCATTCAATCCACGTAGGGATACCTAAGTGCCCCTCTAATATTTGTTTTACATTACATCATGCGGCGTCACACATCATGGTACGTCATGTCGTCACGTGGAGTGTGATGTCATCGAACCGAGGACATATTTTTATGACCATCTTTCGGGCACATCAACGCCGATGCCGTCAAACATGATGAAAAAACAGCCTCGGATAAACAGGGACGAAGAGCGAGTAAAGACATGCCGTCTTTTGCTGTAATGGGACAAGCTTCTTTTTGAGGGGAGAGTAATGTCGCATTCCGAAGCGGCTGAGATAGCAGAGCAGCTGGCATGCCCGGCTCTCACACAGCAGCACTGGGTTCAAATCTCAGCCGTGGAAGCACATTTTATTCTTATTAATTAAGTGCCTGGGTGAGCAAAAATGTAGGAATTTTGAATGTGACTTTCTGCATTTAAGGCTGGTTCACACATACAGTGCAGCGCTAATTCAGTCCTGTTAAGGCAACGAGTCACTGCTACTTCCATGGCCTGTATCGTGTGTTCTGAGGGTCCTCCTTCCCTAAAGGACTGATGTCCCGGTTTGTAATACTGATTCAGCGCTGAGGTAGTGCTACGCTGTGATCAGGATACCTTGCGCGAACATTGAAGTTTAGATAAGCAGATCAACGTGTAACTGTGCATCTTTTTTCTTTATAGGTTACCAGTACAAGGTCTCCCATGGACATGAAGGCAGTACAAGGTCTCCCATGGACATGAAGGCAGTACAAGGTCTCCCATGGACACGAAGGCAGTACAAGGTCTCCCATGGACACGAAGGCAGTACAAGGTCCCCCATGAACACGAAGGCAGTGTACCGTATACTCGAATTTTGCATTTTTAATAAACCAGTTATTACTTCTTCCCACGGTTTTATGCAGGCATTTTCCGAACCTTGCAGGCGTATATAGGCATACATATAAGTAAAACACTTGCACTCACTTTCCCCTTCCCTCAAAACAACGGATCCGGACCACATGTTATGCAACCTATTGCCGTCTTCCCCCTTAGAGCCGTCTATCTAGAAACCCATGCTAGGAGTATAATTTCTAATACATTTCATTTGAAAGTCTAGATACACTGCTTTGAGTCTCTGTTGAAAATCAAATGTTATTTTCTACAGCGTTGCAATTCAGGTTTTGATGGGCCACCTCATTTGGTATATTCCGACTCGTCGGAATATACCTAATGAGATGGCACGTCAAAACCTCAAGTACAACGTGGTAGAAAAAAACATCTGATTTTCAACAGAGACTCAAAGCAGTGTATCTAGACTTTCAAATGAGATCTATTAGAAATTCTAATGAGGTGGCACGGCAAAACCGTAATTGAAACGCGGTGGCCAATAGTTTTCGTAAACTCCTTAGGGACTCGTTACAAAAAATCAATTGTTTTTCAACACAGACTCGAAACGGTGTCAATAGACTTTCAAATTATATTCATATGAAATACATTGGAAACTCTATGCGGTAGCTTTGTCGAAACATCAATTGGAACGCGGTGGCCAATAGTTTTCGTAAACTCCTTACGAACTCGTTACAAAACTCGTTTGCATTTCTATTGAGACTCGAAAAGATGTAATGAGTAGACTCCATAAACTGTCAAATGAAATTCATTAAAAATTTTTGTAAGGGCTTTCCCGGCAAGTGGTGCCACGCCGCGCTTTGGCAGTCCTTTTGTGGAATTCGAGCAACCTTGTTGTGTGCCAACCTTACGTCTGCCCTCCATAGAAGGCCGACTTCGTGCGTTCCATTGGTCTTGGCGATCTTAGTTTTGGAGTCTCGCATGACATTGTCATCCAAAGAATCGTCCACCGATGCGTCGATGACACCCATGCTCTTAAGTTCCCAGAATTGCTTAATGCTTGCAAGGGCTCGGGCTCTCGCAACGCCGTTCTCAGCACGACCACCTGGGAGCAACTAATAACCGCGGTGCTTGACATCGTTCGTCCCTGAACCACCCATCTGAATACAGTTTCCACTGCCGTCAGGTTTGAACGTAATCGGAGCATTCTGTCTGTGACGCACCCCTAGTAGTGGTCCGATCTTGGAAGAATGTTGACGCCGTAGTGTTGTAGTCAGGTGACGTCGTCTCCCACTAGGCAACCTAGTTCTTCCAGTGTTGCCAGTATGCTTTCATCTGGGCTCGGAAGATCCTGTTCGGAGATGGTGGTTGTTTCGAGGTCATCGATCTCATACAGTTTTCTGCTACGTTGATCTTGCAAATTCACTTGAACCCTACAAAATGTTCGTTCACTGATGTCGCCTCCAAATACGCCGACTGTGACGATCTCAGTCTCTAGGAGTCGGCAGTTCAGTCTCTTGGAGAGTTCTTCAGTAATAAAGGAACGTTGACTGCCTCTCTCAAACATAATTCTGGCCAACTTCCGGGTCTTCCTAGTCTCCACTCATGCGGTTGCAGTCTGTAGGAAGACGGCTGACTTCTTGGCACTCTTTATTATTGTTTGGAAGGTGACCGGTGTCGTACTCACGTTCTTCGGTTTTGACGCCTCGTTCGATCGTGCAGCTTGGCGTCATAAATAAAACTTGGATGGCACATGGTGAAAGCATGTTTGCTGTGGCACTTTATACAACAGAACGGGCTTATAAACATTCTCGCCATGTGGTTTGCTCTCGTGCAACGAAAGCATCTGTTTTCAGCCTGCAATCTTCGTTTTTTCTCGGTGAGCTCAATCTTGGCGTTTCAGTCAGGTATGGCGTGTTCCTTGGACTTGCAGAACAAACATTCCAAGCCTTCAGTCCTGACATACAAGGCCGCCGCGGTAGAGTTTCGAAGCTTCGTGTAGTTTGAGAGCTACTTCGGCAGTTCTTGTTTAGGGAAACAAATTTCAGGCTTACCGCCAAAGTCGTCCTTGTGTTCCTCTGACTTCCTCTCCTGGCTCTCCGCCTCGACTCGAACAAATTTGAGTAGAGTCCGTAGAGCTCTCAGGTGAACGTTTTCCGTTGAAGACTCGGGACCGGCGCCCGTTGCTGCGGTGGCGTTCCCTGTGTCCTCCGACGACATCTTTCGGTTGTAGTCTAGGGACATGTCCCTCAGTAGTGCTTGCAGAAGGACAGGGTAGAGCATTGCGCAGTAGGATTTTTCGCCCACAGTTAGTGCTCTAAGTCCCCGGATGTGCGCCTGAAGACTGTCGTACAAACTACGCAGGGCTCGGGCATTGCCCTCTGGCGCTACCTTCTGGGTGTCCATGACACTTTTCATGTGGTCGTGTAGCCGAGCGTCTTGCTTGCCGAACCGCTGTTGTAAAAGGTCGATCGCATCCGCGTAGCACCGAGAGGTTGACTGTAGTCCCTTGATGGCAGCTGATCCATCTCCGGTAAGTGCCGATCTCAAGTAATTAAACTTTTCCGATGGAGTCAGTTCCGGATTCGTGTGGAGTGTGGATTCAAACTGCTCCCAGAATGCTTTCCAATTCTTCCGGTAGCCGTTGAACTTGGTAAGTTCTAATTTTGAGAGTTTGACTTTCGCTTTTACGGGTGTTGCTCTCCAACCGTTGTTCGAGGAACCGCTTGCTTGTTGGCTGTTCTCTACACCCTCCGCCTTCTTTCTGAGCTTCGTGAGGCATGTGACGATCTTGTCGGTATAATCTCTGACTTACGTGATCTCCGTTTTTGCGCCTCTTTCGTTAATCAAAGGCTCGATCGCGGCATCTATAGGTGGCTGAGTTGATACCAAGCAAGAATTAGGTGATCGATCAAAATCTCTATATCACCGATGACCGCTGTAATCTGCTGAAGTAAATCCTCTGCCTCTCTGACGAGTTTCGTTACCTGCGTTCGAAGAGTCTTCCGTTTTTTCTTGAGGACGCCCATGATCTTTCAGTCTCGTCTCGATGAAATTCGCTTGCTTCTTTCGTTCGATAGGTATTGCTTCGGTCTACCGAATTCCTTTCGTTGAGTCGTTACGTTCCGGGTTTCGGCACCACATGTAGGAACATCTGGTAGTCATCGTTGGTTACGTTAAAGCAAACATTTATTTACACTATACAGAAGCAACAAAGCAGTCTTATCTGACGTGTCGATCTTATCTGTTCCGAGGAACGAGCTCCCCGGCTACGAGTTCCTTTTCAAAACTTCTCTGCCCCGATTCCTCGTCTTCGATCTCTGATCGTTGCACAATCATTGCCTCTCCTTCGCCAGTCATCTCGTATAGTTTGGTTACTTTACCGTCAAGTAATTGTACGAACAATTTTTTTACTTCTCGGGGTAATAGTAATAGCATGCAAAGGGTTAGTCGACTCGCAAAAGTAATTGAGTTACATATGCATTTACTTCAGCCGAAGTGCAATGAAGCTACAGTTAAACTAACGTTCTCACAAATATATGCCATCACAGTTGCAGTTGGCTAAAAATTTGTAACGTTCTAATTACTTTTTGTTTTAATGCGAAAACATTAACTGTACCATGGAGCGAAGCCGACGGTGTCTGTAGCAGCGAAAAACGGTACCTAAATTCCCATTTTTCAAATGGCTGAGTGAAAGGGCACCTAAAGTCCCATTGGCTGCGACACGTCATATCAGATGCTTCGCGACGGAAATCGGCAAGGACGCTCGAAGTCAACGTGGACGCGCCTCAGAAATAAGACACAAAGAAAAGCACAGCACCGCACATGCATCGTCACGGACGACAGCGGGGCCGCTCAAGGTCAACGCGGACGTGCCTCAGAAATAAAACACAAAGTAAAGCACAGCAACGCAGATGCATCGTCACGGCAGCCGTGGAGCCGGCTGGGTTCGCCGCGTCTGCGCAAGGGGGGGGGGGGGGGGGGGGGGAGCGAGATGTCATCGCCAGAGCGCAGTGTAGGAACGCTTTTGCATTCCTACACGTAAGCAATCTTAAGTGTCCTCGTGTAATTTTTTTTAAGATATACCATTACATCTAAGTGTGCAATTAAGGTTTTTGTGATCCACCACTCTGTTTCCAGTGGAGGATGAAGTAAAGAGAAAACAACGCATCAGGTCGTTCTATATTTTGAATTTGGCAAGCTAATTTCTAAAGCATGCAACTCTAAAGAAACTAAAGTCTGCGCCATCGTCTGTTCGCCATTATTTGGGCACGTATGTTGAACTTGTATTGAAAACGAATGTGACTTCAGCATTCGGCGAGGACTCGGACTCAATCACGCGCTTCGTGCCCAAGCAATGGCGACCGCCAATGTTGCTCGGTGAACTTTTTAAAAGGGTCTATTAAAAAGAACGCGATCTCTAGCTACGTCCAAGCATTTAACTCCTCCTTTTGTATAACGCGTGTTATGTCTGTGCGTAGGTAAGAAATAGTTAAGAAAAGAGACAAATGAAAATCAAACTCTCTAAAGCACATCCGATCAAAAAGAAAGTAAAGATTTAACCGTAGGCAATGTTTATGCTTCGAAAACAAACCTAGGATAGTGGATCGAGCTTAGCTTGGCGAACGTCAAGATTGGAGGGGTGGAGGAGGAGGAGGGGGGAGGGGAAAAGGAGGGAGGGGGTGGTGAAGTCTCTGTTGTTCTATAGCGCCATTCAGGATAGACTCCGCGTGTAACACCTCTGAACCGCAACAAGCAGAGGTACATAAAAAACACATAGAGGATGGGAAAAAATAAAAAAAAAAATGAAACCAGGAAACAACCATAAGCTAAAATGAACAAAAATAACGTAAGGGTAGACAAAAAAAAAAAAGGGGGGGGGGGGAGGGCTTTCAGCCCAAAATTATCGACTTGGAGCAGGCCTTTGTCGTCGTCGTCTCGGCCGATTTATTACGCCGGCAAAAATCCGAGAACACCTCCTCCCCTCCTCGCTTATTTCCCTTCTTTGTTGAAAAAGAAAAGAGATAACAGAAAGGCCGAAACACAAAGCTAAAGTCAAAAGCAGCCTCGCTAGACTTGCAGGGAAGAAACGGGGCAGATTGAAAGCAATTGTTGGCCTCACAATGGGGTAAGACTCACGTGACCCGCTCTATTGTGTGATCCCCTTTCCCCATTTTCGCCTCCCTCTTTGCTGTTCTCCAATCTCTCTCTCTCTCTTTCGTTTTCATACTTTTTTTTTAAAGTTTTACGAAAGGGGAGAGGAGCATCAACTGAAAGATAGAAACAAAACGATGGGTGTAACTCGAATGTTTCGACGGGATCAAAGAGTTCTGAGGAACACACACAAAAAAAGTAATCAGGGAAATGGGGTGAATAGGGATGGGGTTAGGGAACGAGACCGCCGTCTTGAAAGCGGGGGTGCTCTTATGGTTGTCGCTATTGGTTGTGAGGCTTAAACTGTTTCCCGTCGTTTGTATTAAAGGAGTTTTATTGCAAAGTTATCTCCTTTAGCGTTTTCTTTCGTAGTTGATATCACTGTTACTATTCACTCGAAGGTATAATTCACGTCACAGCAAGCAGGCAAGCCAGCTGGTTAAGGATGGACATGGTAACCTTAGAGCGATCAGACAAAGAGGTACCAACAGACAATAAGCTCCGTTAGGTTAAATGAAAATATATTTATAGAATCTTGCATAGGGGGTTGTCACTTTTTTGTCAAAGCAGAGTTGAAAAGCGTACACGGAACCTAGAACCACAGCAGAACTATATGCCCATTGTGGGAAACGTAACAAATGGTCCCGAAAAAAAAATGGTCCCGGAACTAATGGTCCAAGATTCAAGGTATGAAAAAACGGTCCCACAAAAATATCGCCCCTGTGAAAGCCTCAGAACGAAGCTCGTGCCAATTGTTGCACTAGGACCTTCTAAAATCTGATAACAGAAAAAAAAGGGGGGAGGGGGGGGGGGACGCTTTTTAATATCGTTGGTGAGAAACGCGAAAACACAGGCGTTCACGATTGACCGCATGGTTCAGCTTAAGTTAACGAATGACGCGTGAAAGTGCCACATTTCTTCCGGTCGCCCATTTTCAAACGTAAGTATTTACTGCGGTTTTTTAGACCGCGTCATTGTATATAAATGTTAATAAGCGTCCCCCTCAAAATATATCATAAATAATGCTTAGTTTTATACTTTTAGCTGTAGAATCTCTCCGTGAGTAAAGCCAGGGAGTGAAAACCATGAAGGACTTCCTTCGAGGTGAGGGCCGACCCATGCGGTTCTGACCTCTTCAGTTGTAAGATTCTTGCATGTTTATTTATGTGGCATCAATAAAATTTTGAGTTCTGAACAACTTCCCGTGAAATATATTTCAACGTAGGTAGTGTAGTTACTGATCTGTTTAGAAAAACAAGAAGGAGCGCCACTCGTGCACACACACCAAATGCACCTCAAAAGGCAACGAGCCCCGCTCCTCATGTAAGCCGGAACCAAAAGACACGCGGAGATGAATGCAATTGAAGTCACACAGCAACAATGACATGAGTAGAAGGGCTCAATTTGCCTTTCAAAACAAACCAGTGAATACAAAACTAGCAAATTGCTCGTTGCTCGTTATATAGTAATAGAAGTGACCCCTTGGGTACACGAACACTAAACATTGCCGCGAGCGCAGCTGGCCAAGGGAACAGCGCGCTCGTGGCTTAACGGTTATCGCGCGTGCATTCCACGCAGAAAGGCAGGTTTGATTCCTGGCCGCGGTGACGCAGTTTCCTTGACTCTAACGTAACGTTCTGATAAATTCGAGAATCGTGTTGCTGATTCGAGGTTAGAATGTTTTACACGCCAAACCTTCTACGCCAAATGTTCCAGAAGCGCACGCGTGTACAAAAGGGGCTCCGCGTGGCAAGCCGGAGTCAGTCTCGTCCAAACGCTCGATCCTGCTGTCACGGCGCTATCGACGCCCGCGATGCTCTATTGTTATGTTATGTTTTCTTTTTTATTTTTAGGCATAAGTTCGCCCCATTAAACGTTTAGCTTACTTCAATTTTCGTCGCTTCATCACTTGTCATTCGTGACATTTTTGGTGGAGGTGCTGGGTGCCGCAGGTCCGTGCAGCGTTCCCTTCCAAGGGCCCGCAGTGCAAGTCCGATTCCTGGCTCGGTAAGAAGACCACTCCACGCGGAGCCTGAAACTCGGACCAGCCGCCGCACCAAGGGAGAGGATCCTGAGTACGGTTTGCTGCTGGACAAGCCCAAGCCGAAGAAGACGACGATGGTCAACCAATCGCAGACCCCCACCGCTCCTGCCGTGGTCTACCTACCGGTAGCTCCTCGGATACCGGCTCCCTTCCACGGCGAAAACCACAAAGACATCGACGACTGGATCCAACAGTACGAACGAGTGGCCCGTCATAACGGGTGGACACCGGAACAGTGTCTCCAGAATGCTTACTTCGCCTTGGAGAAAACCGCCCGGAACTGGTTCGAGAACCACGAAGCATCGATCAGCTCCTGGGAGCAACTCAAGGCTGAGTTGCGAAGAATATTCACGAACCAACAACGAAGAGAACACGCGGAAGAGCTTCTTCAAGCGAGGATCCAAGGCCTTAACGAGAGCGTCGTTAGCTTCGTGGAAGATGTCCTGCCACTCAGGAACCGCGCCGATCCTCAAGCATCCGAAGCAAGGAGCTCAAAGTCTTGATACGCGGCGTGAAGGAAAACATTTTTGGTGGTCTTGTGCGGAGCCCGCCTACCACCGTCGAAGGCTTCGTGACGGAGGCCACCAACATCGAACGTGCCCTTCAAGCACGAGCCGCCCACTATCACCAAGTTCCCGCCGTCGTTGTCGTTTCGTCTTCTGGCTGCAACACCGCGGACATCTGCGAGATAATCCGGGACGTCGTCCGGGAGGAGATCAAGAAGCTTCTACCTGCCACCGTAAGCCCAGCTTCGCCCTCAACTCTCCGAGATTGTCAGGGAAGAAGTCCAGCAAGCGCTGCAGCCTGAGGTTCTCGTCAGCACCGCTCCGGAACCACCGATGCTGAGTTACGCCGCTTTGGCTCGACGGCCACCACCTCCTCCTCGCACCTATGTCGCGCCGCCCCGACGTCATCCTCCAGCGCCGCAGCACGACCGACGCCACGACGACCAGGTCCAGTACGCCTGCCCGGAGCCTCGCGAACCCCTCAAGACCGATGTGTGGCGAACGCCCGACCGACGCCCTCTGTGCTTCCATTGCGGGGAAGCGGACCATACTTTCCGCCGATGCCCATACTGACGACTCGGGCTACGCGGGTTCCACCCGAACGACCCGCGCCCCGTCATGGTGAACGCCCTACTGAGATCGACGAGTACATGCGACGACCCCAGTCCGCCGAGCCTGTGTCCCACCGAGAGTTCCGGTCACCGTCGCCGCGACGTCCAGCTTTGCCGATGCACCGACCCCGACGTGAAAGCCTGTCGCCCCTCGTTCCTCGCCGGGGAAACTAGGCGCGGCAACCCCTGGAGGTGGAGTTACCGAAGACGACCGACGTAAAGAGCCTCCAA